GACGGCGGGGAACAGGGGGAACATTGGGATGCTTGAGGGACGACTCAGGTAAGGGACTGCAAGGGCCCCGGACCCACGTGAGGTTGGAAGGGGGATCCCTGGAGCCCTGTAGAAAGACCCCACACATACATTTCCATGTCCTGGGCTCTGCCACATCCCACCACAGATCCACCTGTGCGCCCTCCTTTTGGGGCCAGTGGGTCACTCCAAGACTCCTGGGTCGGGTTGTATGGGGACAGTGGGTGGGGAGACAGGTCCTGACCTCAGGGTCCCTGATCTGGGCTGGGGGGCAGGAGGACGGGAGAGTTGGCAACAGAGCATGCCTCCCCAAAACATGAATTGCTCAGCTGAAGGCAGGATGGGGCAGCTGCTGGGTGCTCTCTGTCCTTCCTCCGCTTGCCTGAAAATAGGACGTTGGTTTGCGAGGACAAAAGGCATCCAGGCTGCTCTCTGCCAGGAATGTAACAGTTCACCAAAGAGATGTTCTAGACCACCGAGCCTTGCTTGAGTGGGTACGAGGAGCAACTGAGCAAGCCTCACTCAGCTGCTGTGCTCCCGCTTGTCTGCCTTCCCCGAGGCACTACCCTGGAGACGCAAGTCCTTTTCCTTTGTCCCGTCACTTCTCAATATTTACCTCTTTTTGCTGAAGATGCTGCTCTCCAGGCGTCTCCCACATATCTATGAAATATCTGTGTTAAACTGTTTTCCTCTTGTTAACCTGTCTTTTGGAACGGGGCTCCCTTCCAACTAAGCACTTATAGGGGTTATTACTGCTCCCCTATTACTGAAAGGCAGGGGCCAGCCACAGTGGCTCTTGCCTATAATCCCAGCACTCTGGGAAGCCAAGGAGGGTGGATCACTTGAGGCTACGAGTTCAAGACCAGCCCGGGCAACATGGCGAGTTCTCATCTCTACAAAAAAATTTTTAAAAATTTAACTGGGCGTGGTGGCATGTGCCTGTAGTCCCAGCTACTCAGGAGGCTGAGGTGGAAGGATCACCTGAGTCCAGGAGGTTAAGGCTGTGGTGAGCCGTAATCACACCACTGTACCCCAGCCTGGGTGACAGAGTGAGACCCTGACTCTAAACAAACAAAACCCTGAAAAACAGCACCCCATGAGCTGTCTTTGTTCCTGGGCAGGAAACCAGGACCCCTCCTCTCTCCTGTCCTCCGCATTCAAGTAGCTCCTGCCCCTAGCAGGTGTGTTTTCCTCATCACAATCCCGCCCCTGCTGCCCACTGAGCCAGCCGGCCAACCCTGGATAAGACAAGGGTGCTGGGGACAGTGGTTCATAGGACAAGTCAGATGAACACCCACCTGGCATTGTCTCCCTGACCCTCCATGCTGTCCCCAGCTCCCAGGGAGGAGGATGAGGCTGGGGAGGCAGGCGAGGGCTGGGGTCTCTCCCAGCCTCCACCGCTAATGGCCCGGAGCCCAGCAGACCCCCAGGCCACAGCCTTCCTCATAACTTGCCCCAGGCCTGAGAGCTGGGGCAAGGACCAGTTTAATTTTAATTTGGTTTAGAAAAAAGGGAGACAGCGGGGCTCGGTGGCTCAGCCCGTAATCCGCTCCTTTGGGAGGCTGAGGTGAGTGGATTGCCTGAGCCCACGGGTTCGAGACCCGCCTGGGCAGCGAGACCTCATCTCCACAATAAATCAAAAAATCAGCTGGGTGTGGTAGCGCGCGCCTGTAATTCCGGCTACTCGGAAGGCTGAGGCGGAAGGATCGCCGGAGCCCAGCAGGTCGAGGCTGCGGTGGCCGGGAGCGGCCGTTGCACTCCAGTCTGGGCGACAGTGAGACTCCAACTCAAAAAAAAAAAAGAAAATGGGAGACAGACAGACCCATTGTGGTGGAGGGTCCTGCACCCACCATACCAGCAGCTGGAATTGGCAGACTCTTTCCCAGCAAGGAAGGGGACGCTGTGCCCCAGAGTAGCCGTGCTGTCCATATAGAAACCAAGGAAAACTTCCCCTTCACCCTCTTAAGGTTCAACTGAAAAAAGGCAAATGACAGAGAAGCATAAGAAATGTATATTTTAGGTGACACCGGAGCTTTCAGAGTGAAGACCCAGAAGTCCAGGGAGTACTGTCTGCTTTCATGCTTGGGGGCAATGAAGCCTGGGCCTTTGTGTAGAGATAGGACTGGACAAGGAGGGCGACAGCTGATGCTGATGGACAGAGGCGAACCAGCAAGGCCCCTCTGTCAGGTTCTTCTAGGCCTCTTCTGAGCAGCCTCCTTCCTCCCTCCAGGGAGTGGGGTCAGCGGGGTCTTGGGACCTACAGTCAGACAAGACAGGTCAGAGAATTCCTTTTGGCACAGAAAGGGGAAAGGTGGAGTCCTATGTCTAGGTAATGACCCCCTTTGGGGAAAGGGTTCTGGTTTCTGTGGGGAACAGGAGAGGCCAGAGACAGGTGGGCAGAAGGGCGAGAAAAACTTGCTTCCGAGGCCTTCGCTTGGGGGTGTCACTTTCCGAGTCCCAACCCCCAGGATGCCGGTGGGTGGCGGCTGGCAGTGGTGGGTGGACGGGGACACTGGCTTGAGGGTGGGGAGCGGGCTCGAAAACAGGCAGGGAAAGGCCTTCAAACGGAGGAAACGGCCAGTGCAAAACCGGGAGGCCAGAAAGCAACCAAGGAGGGGCGGGGCCGGGCGTCTAGGGGCGGGGCCGAGCGAGTACTCAGGGAGGGCATACCGCGAGGGGCCGGGGCGGAAAAGTTTCTGCCACGCCCGAGACCCACCCGCGGGTGGCGGCAGGGGTCGGATAGGGAGGGGCCACCTACAGCGGGCCGGGAGGAGTGGGAGGCGGACGGACCGGGTTCCGACTCCGGCTCACCCTACGGCAGTGGCGTCTCTGGCTCTGATTGGCCAGGCTTCCTCACGTGACCCTCGCGACGGCTCGCTCAGGCACGCGGTGATTGGCTCACACACACATCGCCCTCCTCCCCCGCCATCCTTACCCCTCGACCCCGGGGAGAGTCGCCCCCGCCCGGTCCCCCCGGCCTCGGCTCCGTGCGGAGCTTGGCGGTGGCGGAGTTGGATGGGGGGGCAAGTTGTCCCCAGACGTGTCGCCTCATCCCGGATCGTGTGGCCCTGGGCTGCCGCCCTGCCTGGAGGCCCGTGTCCATCCTTGAGGCCGCGCGGGCGCAGCTGCCACCTGGCCCAGCCCCCAGCCTAGGCCCCACCTGGCCCCCGCGGCCTTCCGGCTCCGGAGGACCCGTCCTTACCCAGACCGTGGCCCTTTCAGAACGGACAGGGGACCTGCTACAACGGGAGGGGAGTCATTTCCAGACTGCGTGGACAGGTGGCCCAGTCCCAGAGCTGATCGGCCCCCGCTGACTTCGGAATGGACAGCAGGACTCGTCTAGCTGTGGATTCGCGGAGCAGGCCAAAATGGCCCCCAATTGCCGGACCTTTAAGTTTTCTCCGGAAAGCCCCGATGCTCCTGAGGCTTGTGCAGGACGCTGGAGAGGAGGGTGGAGAGGATATCCAAACAGAGCCCGAGGTCCCCCCAGGGGCCGGTGCCTGCTGCGACCGAGGAGGCAGCTTTCAGCAGCCAAAGCCGCAGGGTTGCTGCAAAGGCCCGTCTGAGTTTCGGATCCGCGGGAGAAGTAGGGACAGCGGCTGCCTCCTCTGCAGGTGGAAGGTCACCCTGGGCAGCTCAGCGATGAGGGGCGGGGGCTGGGGCCCACACGTCCCCTAGAGGCAGCAAGAGGGGGCCTGGGAGACCCTTTTCCACGTCCCTGGAGGAAAGTGCATTTCCTCCCAGGAGAAGGGCCCAGCGTGGAGGCCAGGGCACCTGTGGCCTCTCTGCCCCTGAGACTGAGGTTTTGAAGGACGCTCCTCCCAGGGTCCCCAGCCAGCAGTGTCAGAAAGGCCATAGGAGACCCTGACGGCCGCCTCCCTGCAAAGGGACCTTCACAGAGTTTCTGTTGGCCAAACTTTAGTTAGATTTCTGAATTCTCTGCTAGGCCCCACTGTGCACTTCCTTGTAAAGTCTGGTTTTAGCAAAGAATCCTGCTAAGTCAGTTTGGCAAGAACTCCCACCACCATCACCACCTTTGATATCCAGTCACCCTCAATTTCTGATCGGGTTTCTCATTCTTCACCCCCAGATGGTGTCAGATCTCCAGGCTGTCTTTAGCTAGAATCCTGTCAGGTTGGTTGAGCCAGAATCCCTCTCACCCCTGACATCCTGTCAGCCATTCTCCGCCCACAGACCGTCATGCTGCTCCCTGGCTATAAATCTCCACTTGCCTCTGCTGTGCTGAGTTGAGCCCAGTTTCTCTACCCCACTAAAGAACCTGGTGCCAAGCCCCAGTGCCTACCGCGCCCTGGTCCTGAATCAAGCCCTCCTCACTGTGCTTTAACAATTCCAGAAAAGGAAGTCAAACAAGCACCTAGGGTGGGCCTGAGTACCCAGCTGGGTTGGACAGGGGAGGGACATGGGTGGGACCCCCAGAAAGCAGGCAGAGGTGATTGGGCTGGGGTAGAGTGCCTGAGCCAGGCCAGAGACCTGGCAGGTCCCACTCCGTGTCCTCTGGCCTCAGCCATGCTTGCAGCACTCCCTGGGCGTGTGGGACCCAAAGCTGCAGAGGGCGGAAGAAGAGCAGGACCTAAGGGTGGGGCAGGCATTCCCTGGATCTGCCAGAGGCAGGGGCAGCACAGAGTGGCCTGGGCCCCAGGGCCTGGTGAGTTAAGGGGAGGGAAGGGACTGTGGTTGGGGTCTAGGGTGAGAGTGGGGTTGAGGAGAGAGAGAACAGAGGGTGGAGAGTTTGCCAGTGAGACTCACCTGGGGCCAGGGCCTGAAGGGACAGGTTGCAATTTAGATGGAGGTTATTCTGGCTGATGCTGCCTTGGGAAGAATGGGTCAGGATGGGGGAGACCCTGCAGTTGCCCAGCAAGAGGGGAAAGTTCTTCCTCGCAGGGCATGGGTGGCAGGGAGGGCCCTGGTGGTCCACAGAGTGGGAGTCCCTGGTAGGACAAAGTGAGGAAGGAACGGCCACATGGTGTGAAATCACTGTGATGTTTATTGGCTGTGATTCCATCCGGAGAGGACACACGGGGCCCTCGACATGCAAGAGGAGGCAGGTGCGGGGACATACAACAGACAACATCACGGGCTAGGCGAAGCTCAGCGGCCCCCGGGCGCCCCATGCGCTGGGAACGGGATGGTGGTTTCTAGAGGGAACGCCCTGTCTGCTCAGAGTTGGCTTTTAAAGTGTGAAAACAGGAATTTAAAAAACACATGGACGGGGAGGAGGTGGGCGGGCGCAGCTTGGACTGTGAGCCCTAGGGACCCGAGGCCAGCGCCTCCCGGGACAGGGTTTGGTGGTCAGTATTGCGATCTAACTGTTATGGCTTCTCTAATGCTATGTAAGGTCGTGAAGGTCAACGCTAGGCCACACCCTGACCTAAAACACGTGGACACGCGATGCAGTTTTGAAGTGGACAGAAGGGCCTCTCCGTCAAGAGAAAACTCGTCAAACACAAAGACCTCATTTACCTGAGATTCAACAAATTGTGATGCAAATTAAACAAGGTTGGAGGAGGGATCGCCCCACGGGTGGACTGCCTGTTTCTGCCAGACTCCAGATCAAAGACACCCCAGCCCTAGGCCCGCCTCTGGCCTACCTGCAACCCCATGGGGAAGGGCAACACACCCCTGATGGGCTGGGCCACATCTTCTCACACAGGTCTCCAGGCCACTGTACATGGTGCCTGAGGGCCCCAGGTTTCTCAGGTGAAGGTGTGGGCATTAGTGGATCAGGGCCCGGTCTCCCAGGGAGAACCAGCAGCCCCCTCAGTGGAGAGAACAGGAGACCAGCCGGGTAGAGGGCGGGCCGGGCCCAGGTCTCCATGAAGGGGAAAGCAAGAGTCACAGGGGTAGGTTGAGAACCCCCAAACCTATTGCTTTGTTTCCCTTAGTTTGGAAGAGAACAGGGCCACGGCATTCCTAAGAAGCGACACTTTCCAGAGGGTGGGGGGGCAGACAGACGATGGACAGATAACTCGAGGGGTGCAGGTCTTTGGGTGGGCCAGAGGCAGATGGGAAGACACAGAGGAGTGCAATCTGGCAACCCCGGTGTCTGAGCGCAGGAGGAGGGGCCCGAGCAGAGGAGGGTGGCCCTAGGCACTGGCCTCGTCCCCACCCCACCCGCACTATGCCCTGACCCCCTATGGCTGTGCTCCTGAGTTTGGCCCAGACAAGCACCCACCGGCACAAGGTGGTACGCCCAGGGTGACCAAAGGGCTGACCCTGCCGGGGTTCCAGCCTCAGGCGCTGAAGGGTGGACAGTGACCGGTGAGAGCAGTCAGGGGGTCCCGGACACTGGGGGTCTAGCCACCCACGGGCAGAGGAACATGTGGACAGGGTCCTGGGCTGTGCACACTGTAGAGGCCTGGGGTGAATGCCCCTTGCTGGGGGGGTTGATGATGGGTGGGGGGCGGAGGCTCCGAGGGTGAGGGGCGCGGGAAGGACAAACCTAGGACTATGGCTTATATTGGCGTTGGGGGGCTGCACTCTGCTCCCGACATCCCTTCAGGGGCCTCCGCGGAGGGTCTGTACAGGGGGTGGAGGGTGGGGGCTCGGGCTTGGCCAGCTGTGCCCAGCGCAGACATTACTTCTTGAACATGTCCTGCAGTGGCCCGGGCAGGTACTTGATGACGGTGTCCAGGATGCTCTCATCCTCTTCCTCAGGCTCATCCCCGCAACCTGGAGGGATGGCCTTCTTGGGCCGCGTCAGGCTGCCCTCCGAGTTGGCCTCCATGGCAGCCTGGGCCTCAGCCTCACGCTCCTCCTTCTTCTTGATGCCGTACTGCGGGGAGACGGCAGGAGTCAGGGGTCCCAGCAGGCCTCGGCCTGGGGGAGGGCATCCTGGCAACTCCAGCCTTGGTGAGGGGGCTCACAGTAGGCCTCGGCCTCGGGGGGTGGCGTCCTGGCAACCTCAGCCTTGGTGAGGAGGCTGCAGCCCCAGGGAGGTTAGACCCTCCCTGCCCTGGACACTGGCAAGGGACCAGGAAGTAACTGGCCCACCTGAAGGGACCTCACCCCAGAGGCTGCCTGTAGGGCTGGGAGAACTCCACGGAGAATGGGGGGCGTCTTGAGAGCCACTGCAGGGGTCGCCATGGGGGAAAGTAGGGAGGGGGAGGCTGGCATCTCTCTCAGGGGAGACAAGGCTGTGGCCCCCACCCCTGGCTCCTCCCAGGAAGCTCCTAGCCTGGGTCAGGGTGGGGTGGGCAGGACCTCTGAGGTCACTCTCTGACCCGTCTCCCGAGTCCAGAGGCCTGTGGTCACACCTCATGGCTGGCCCGGGTCCCCTGAATGTAGCCATGACCCCAAGCCCTAGCAGGCTACTCTGCAGTTTCATGGTCAACTGGCAGAGGGGCCCAGGTCATGGTCATTTCTAGGTACTGGGTGTTCCAGAGTCCACCTAGCTGTGACCTCAGCCAACACACTTGAATTTCACCGACTCCCGGCCCACCCCTGTTTCTCATCTCCTGTGCGTGTCCCTGTCTCCTCGTGTCCCCTCCTGTAGTAGGCTGAATGTTGTCCCCACCTTCATGTCACCTGGAACAATGTGACCTTATTTGGAATTAGGGTCTTGGTGTTTATAATTAAGGTAAGGATAGAAATCCTGAATTTGAGGGGACCCTGAATCCAGTGAGAATGTTTTTGCAAGACAAGAGATACATGGAGGAGCTTGTGTGAAAACAGAGCAAGACTGGGGTGATGCAGCCACAAACCGAGAGACATACCTGCAGAGCTCCTGGAAGCTGACAGGGGCAGGGAAGGAGCGACCCTGGAGCCTGAGAGGGAGCATGGAATCCTGGGCTTCTGCCCTCCAGGCCTCCAGATCTATTGCCAGGCACTTGGTTTTGGCACGTGCCCACCAAAACTCCTGCTAAGCCACTGGCCCAGGAGCCCACGGTCCTGGTGCAGCCACGGAACCACAGGACAGCCTCCTGCTGCCCAGGGCAGATGGGGCAGGGCAGGCCATGCTGGTCTCCAAGCTTTGGAGGCTGGTGTCCATCTGGGAGCCGATCGGCCGCCCAGTGGTCAGAGCTCCCTGGGCCAGGTCCGAGGTCATCGGTCACAGATTAAGGACACATGAAGCAGTGATGGGCGCCAGCAAAGTGCCCAGGAGGGAGCACTCAGGAAGGTACATGGGTGCCAGCACCTTACAAGTGACACCTAAGTGCGTGGCCTCCGCCCAGGGAGGGGCCGTCTGCCCAGGAGGGACATTTCTGGTCATTGCTCTTCTTCTCACTAGTCCTTCCCTGGAAGAAAGGGTGAGCCCTGCTCCTGGTGCCCAGTGAGACCTGGCTCACCAAGGATGTCCCTCCCTCCTTCCTCTGTACCCCTGACCTTGTGAGGTCAACCTGGACACCCATCCCCTCTCTTGGGGCCAAGGGTGGCTTTGGGTGCCATGCTCTGCCCACCTATGCCCAGAGCACACTGGCCACCCAGGAGAGCCATGGCAGGGGGCTTTAAGCTTCTCCAGGAACCCCCTCACACCTTTAACAGAGCCGGGGATGTGGGAGTCTCAATGGCCGAGCCCTGAGGGCACAGCAAGGACACCCTGAGCAGGGACAGGCATATCACCCAGTGGGCCCTGCACACAGAACAGAGCACCATCAGCCAGGGAATGAGGACCAGACCCAGGCTGGGCACTTGCCCAGGACACCAAGAGGAGCCAGGTCCTCTTCCTGGACCATCACTGAGGGTGCCCTCCTGGTCCACCTTGGGCCCTGAGTGCAGCATGGAGAGGATGTTCAGCTGGTGTCCTGTGGACCGTGCTGGGCCAGGAGAGTGACACCACCAGAATCTAGGTCAGGCCGGAGAGCACTTTCCTCCTGCCCGGGGCCAAGTCGGACAGGCGCCTGCAGCGGGAGGGTGTCTGCACATAGCAGAAACACATGTGGGGTGAGGATCTGTGGGCCTGGCCCGGGAGGCTGTGCAGCCCCAGGTGTGCTCTCATGGCACAGGTGCTCAGGAACATGTGTGTGCTCAAGGGACACACATATAACAGCAAAATATGCGTTGTGTGTTTGAACAAAGGAGCTTCCGCGGTCAGGGATGGATCTCAGGGGGCCAAGAGGGACCCCGTGTACACACAGTGCCAGGTCCTCCCCTCTGGCCCAAGTGGGATATCCAGACCCCACCATCAATGGTGAGTCACTCTGAGCTGGGCCTGAAGGGCCAGTTGCTCTACTGAGGTTCAAGGTCATTCTGAGACTGAGGCAACTCTGGGGTCCACCTGGGGTCAGGGTCACTGCCGCAGGCACAAGGCTCCTAAGCTGAGCTCCAGCCTCAGCCTGGCTTCTGTGTGATCTGGCTGAGACCGGCTCTGAGGCGTCTAAGCTCCAGAGACAAACACCCAGTCAGCCGGGTCCTGGCGCCGTTGGCCATTAAACTGGCGGCTCTCCAGAGCCACAACTCAAAAACAGGACTGCGGGGGGAGCCTGCAGTCCCCTGACATACATGAGGAGAGACATGAACCCGGAAAGCAGTGTGATGTTGAGAAAGCAGGGCCCTGGGTGCTACTTGAGGGTGAGAACCAGTAACATGACCTGCAACAATGACGTCCATTGTCAACAGCACAAACTCAGAGCCTAAAGCAAGCGTAGCAGAAGTGGCACCATGCCTAGACCTCCCTGACAGACAGTTCCAGCTCTGCTGCCCAGAGCACACATCTGGCAGGGGGCACTTGAGCACAGGGGCCGCCACCTCACCCTGGCTGCAACCTGCCTGGTGGCTGGGGGACAGGACAGTAGGAGGAGGGCTCCTCCAGGAATTACCCTGCCCAAGACGGACAGTACAAACGGCAGGCCGAGCTCCTCTCCTGGGAGGAGGTTATCTAGGGACTGGACACACGACCTGGGCCAGCCCCTGGGCCCCCCACCTGCACAGAAGCCATGGACAGGGCAACTTGGGACCCTTTTCTGACCAGCCTGAGGAGCCCTGGGGGCACATGGCCCAGGCAAGGTTGGAGGAGCAGGGCCACCCCTGTGGGCAGGGCCCCCATGGGGACATAAAAGGCAGCAGGTAGAGTCACCAACCAGCAAAGGTCTCATGGTCTCATGGAGGCTTTGCAGGCACAGTGTGAGCCTTCAGCCAGCCTCCTACTTGGCTGTCTCTGCCCCTCCCAAGGCCGCCCCACAGTCACCTCCCAACTCCCATCAGCTTTCCCCCTCTCAGCTGTGCCTGGCGGGGGGCGGTCTCTGTGGCTCTCAGCTCGTCTCACCTCACTCCTCTCTGTTCCTGTCTCTCTCTGCCTCTGTTATGATCCCGGTCTCTCTCTCTCTCTCTCTCTGTCTCTCTCTATCTCTCCCTGATTCTGTCTCTCTCTGTCCTCTGATCCCCTCCCCTTTCTCCTCCTGTCCCACCCCCTTTCCTGATACACAACCTAGTAGGGTCTGGCAGCCTCGCTGTGATCTAGTCGATGACGTCCTTTCCCTGACTTCCCAGAAGCCTTGTGTCTGCAACTCATCAGCTGCAGATGAGGGAGGTCGGGTCCCCGGGGGAGCAAGGGGGTGTGGGCTACCATTGCAGCCCAGTGGACAGGACCTGCAGCAGGCTCCAGGACACGTCTGGTGACCCACGGCGAATGTCAGGGAGTGTGGCCCCACCTCATCCCCATCAATGGCCACTTTGCACTCTCCATGGTCCATGGAGCGGGCTTTGTTAGGAACCAGGAGAAGAACAGTGTTGGGTGGGGAGGAGGGGCTGTGTGAGGGAGGGGAAGAAGAACGTGTGGGTGGGGAAGGGCAGTCACACTGGACTGGCTCTTGTGGGTGCAGGGAGCTTGCTGTGCACTGCCTTTGCCACCTGCTGCCCTCAGCACTTTTGTCTGTCTAGCCTGGAGGTCCAGCATCCCCAGAAACCCACAAGCCAGCCCTTCCTGGCTGCAGCTTACATCATACAGGAAGTTAGTGTCTCCATCTGCTCAAGGTGCTGCTGGCTGGAAAGCGAATGGTTGCTGGATCCTTCCCACCCTGTAGCTGGGGACCATGCTGTCCAGGACCTGGCCATGGTAACCCCTTGGGGAATGCCTGCTGCCATCAACCAGGCCTGCTGCAGCCGCTACCTCTGAGCCCGGGGCCTGGGTGGGAACTGTGCTCAGGCAGTACCCCAGGCCTCTTCTGTATGGAATGCCCATTTCTTCTGCTACCAGCACCCGTGGTCCTTCTCCCCGCCCCCCACCTGGAGGCCCTGTCTACCCCTGCTGCTTTCATTCCCTGGGCTCCCAGCTGGGTCCCTACAGGTCCCTAGACAAGGCTAGAGCACCTGCTTGGAGGCCTTCCCGCCCCAGGGCTCCAAGTCTCTGCCTGAACCTCCCTCACCTTCAGCCCTGGCAGCTAGAGGGATGGATGAGTGGCAGTGACCACGTGTGGTTGTCCCTGTGCTGGGTGTGTGGGCTTTGCTGCAGGCTCAGCTTCACTCTCAGTCACCAAGATGGGCTTTGCTTTTCCCATCTGGGACAGATCATGGTGTTCTCTGGTTGCCCACTCCCAAGGAAAGGCCACCTAAGTGAAGTGGGAGCTGACTGGGCAACTCCCCGCTCCCAGTCATGGCTCCTGTGCCAGCTCCAATCCAGGCCATGCTTCCCCGCTTGGTGAGTCCAGGAGGCACCAGGCCCCTCCCTGGAGCATGCTAACCCCATGCCCAGGCTGACCTCAAGAGCCCGCCCCTGGGCCTCCCCTCAGAGTAGGGGGCAAGTGAACCCATGAGGACTCATCACCGCAGTCTAGATGTAAACATCTGGGTCACCCCACTGGTTTCATTCTCCCCATGGGACTAGCTCCCCAAAGCTCCCGGAGTCTGTGCTGCGGCTGGAGAGAGGCCTCTCCCTCCGCCCACGGGTCTTTCCACCAGCACAGGGTCAGTCCCCACGAGCTCAGGACTGGCGCCCACCTTGTCACGGATGCCCTGTCGCATGACCTCACGCTCGGCCTCCATCTTGGCATACTTGGCCTTGCGTTCCTCCTCCTCCTGGCGCAGGGCTTCCTGGCGTTCCTCCTCCTTCTTGGCCGCATCTGGGTCCTTCTCCTCGTCACCCCCGAGCATCTTCCCCATGTCTTTGGTGGCTCCTGGGGAGAGAAAGGTGGCACATCGGGGACCCCCCTCAGAACTGCATCCAGGCCTAGCTGGGCTCCCAGCCACTCCCTGACCCTCTGCTGCCCACCCTGGGATCTGGTGCTTTCTGTCCCCTTGAGGGCTGGGAGACATTCTGGGGGGGGCAGGGGACAGGAGGTTTGTGGGAAGCATGTGCAGTTTTGTGCCTGTTTAAACATCCATATGTGCTTGTGCCTATGGTTGTGTATGTGGTTGTGTGTGAATGTGGTTGTGTGTGTGTGGCCATGTCATTGTATGTGTTTTTGCATGTATGACTGAGTGGTGTGGTTGTGTGTGTGGCCTTGTGTTTGTGTGTGCGTGACTGTGTGACTGTGTATGACTGTGTTTGTGTGTGCATGACTGTGTGTGTGCCTATATGGTGGCTTTGTGTGTGTGCATGGCTGAGTGTCATGTGTGTGGCTGTGTGAATGTGGTTGTGTGTGCATGACTGTCATGTGTGCATGACTGTCAGGTGTGTGGTTGTATGTGCATGACTGTGTGTATGCTCTGTGGTGGCTTTGTGTGTGTGCATGGCTGAGTGTCATGTGTGTGGTTGTGTGAATGTGGTTGTGTGTGCATGACGGTTGTGTGTGGTTGTATGTGCATGACTGTGTGTGTGTCCTGTGGTGGCTTTGTGTGTGTGCATGGCTGAGTGTCATGTGTGTGGTTGTGTCAATGTGGTTGTGTGTACATGACGGTCATGTGTGTGGTTGTATGTGGCTGTGTGATTGTACGTGAGTATATGACTGAGTGTCATGTGTGTGGCTTTGTGTGTGTGTATGCATGATTGAGTGGCTGTGACTGTGCATGTGTGTATGACTGTGTGAGCTCCTGAGGGACTGGTATGTCTTCATTGGGTCCTTTGTCCAGTGGAGGGTCGGCCTCTGGAAGGTGGTGGAAGGAACGACTGGATATGCAGACAGTAGTTTTAGGGCCAGGGACAGTGTCTGGCTGGTGCCCCAGTGACCAGGATGGAAGCACTGGAGGTGGTAGGTGGGGTCCACAGGCTGCAGGAGGCTGCTTGTGGTGCCACTACCACTTTCCCGTGAGCTCTTGACTCACAGGCCACACAAACACCTCCCCAAAGGCCCCAGACCTTGCCCACAGGATGAAGTGTATAATGATAGCCATGAACATGGCAGGCACCACAGGAGCACCGGCCCTCAGCTCCAGGGAGCAGAGCAGCTTTGCCCTGCAACTGCATGGTGTCACTGAACACCGTGACCCCCAGGGGGGTGGTGGGCAGGGCCTGTGTTATCTGAGCCACCCAGCTCTGAATTCAGTGATTCCATGTTTGATCCTCCATGTCCACATCCCTGACACTCTTGGCACCACTGTCACCACTCTGACATGGGGAAGGTCCCTGCCATACAAAGCCTGGGAGACACCATTGCCCGCAGATGTCGTCACGCTGTGTATGTGATGATGCTAAGTGACCTCCCTATCTCCTGAGGGTGAGGGGCATGGGGGAGACCACCAACTGTCAGTGGGACAGCACCATTTTCGTGGAGTGCTCGGGGCGGAAGTGATGTCCCTCACCAAAGGGGCTTCCCACCACAGGCCACCCCCCGATGCTCTGGCTGTCTGCTGCACTGCTATCTCTTGCACTCACTGTGAGGACAGGCCACCACTGACCCCTGGTACTGGGCCAACAGCACCAGCCTGCACTCTCTTGTGGAAGGCTAGAGCCTGTGGTCAGTGTTTAGCCTCATTGGCAACATTTTGCAAAGCAGATTTGAGGTTTGTGACTCAAAGGAAACTGGGTCATGGAGTGGAGTCGCTCATAGATTCTTCCAGCAGTTCCCAGATAATTGAACCAGAGTCTCTCCGCCTCTGGTGCTGCTGCCCCTGGCAGGTGTGTGGAGACAGCAAGGATAGCCCTCTTAATCCTGGCTGCTTTTGTGCAGATCCGACTGTTCACAAGAAAAAGCTAGCTCACACTAAGGTGAGAGTGATGCCCTGCTCCTTCTCCCTCCTGGAAAGTTTGAGTGTCTACAGCGGAGGCTGGTGAACCTGGTCTCTCCTCACACCCCGCCTCCAAGAGGGAAAGGAGTGTGGTTGCTGGGGTAGGAGCTGGAAGGGTGGCTCTGCCCCTAAGGGCTGGTCCCCACGCCTATCCCCCCAACTCGTCACATAGGCTCTGGGTCTAGTCATTGAAGCAGGCATTTATTGAGCACTGACTGTGTGCTGAGCTCTGCCACACAGCGCATGCTGGGGGCTGCTCTGGGTCCCCAGTGGAGCCCCAGTGGGTCAGCTCATGTTGTCCCCACTGGAGCCCCAGTGGGTCAGTTGGCCAAAGGGACTGGGGAAAGCTCACCTTTAAGAAAGAAGGAGCGAGCCCTCTAGATCAAGGGGCAGCTCTGGGCAGCTGGGAAGTCTCCCGGGCCAGGGTTGCTCCTGTGGCACAGACCCGTGCTCAAGGCGGAGGCTGCTCAGTGCAAATGACCCCACATCCACACCTAACCTTGGAGAGGTCACCGGCAGCACAGGCCCCCACTCCTCCACCCACGCATCCCCTAGTACTGACTTCCAGAGCCACTTCCAATGCTGGGAATGAGGTACCTCCAGGATCACAGCTGACGCTGTGGGAAGCTTGTTCCTGGCACAGAAACCCGACGTGCCATTTGCTTCCCTGGCATGATGCCAGAGCCGGGCATGTGGTCCTGGAGCACTGCAGAAGTGGTGAAATCCCAGCAGTGCCTGGGGGTCCCTGCCCTGCACCCCTGCTCAGCACGTCACGTCCCCCTTTGCTGTGCCGAGCCTATGTGCAGACATCAGGCCTTGGCGCCTCAGGACTCCCAAGCTATGGTCCCTGGAGGTCCTCGGAAGACCTGATGTTGCTCAACTGACAGAAAACTAAGTCACAGAGTTTGTTCACACTGTGCCCACAGTGGGGACACCTCACCAGCCAGGGTCTTAGAAACACCCAGATGAGGTCCCCGAAGGCAGGAAGGCAGGGTCAAATCCAGGGCCAGAACCCCTCAAGTAGGGCCAACACACCCTTCCCTCACCCTTGTCTGAGTTGCTGCTTCTCCCAGTGAAGTGGAAATGAAAGAATACAGGAGGCAACCCCTGCCATGACACCATCAGATAAAGTCCCCTGCGAGGAACATTCCAGCACCTGTGAGGACTGTGGCAAGAAAAGTGGGGGGACCTTCCACCCAGGAGTGGGTCCCTACTGAGGGGAAGAGGGTAAGGCAGAATCCAAGGGGGAGGGGGAAGGGGAGGAAGAGGAGGAAGAGGAGGAGAGGCCCAGCATGGGTAGGTTGGCTCTGCTGCCCAGGCTCTGCCCAAGCCCACCCAGACTGGGAACAAGGAGCAGCCACCTCCATTGCGGGCCTCCACATTGTCCCCAGTCCTCTTCCCATGCTGGCACCAGCTGTGTTCCACTTCTCACCTAATTCTCGGCAGCAGAAGATGCAGAGGCTGGGGAGTGGTCAGGTCAGGCCACCACGTTCCCACCTCAGGACCTTCGAACTTGCTGTCCTGTCCCTGGAGCCCATGTCCCAGAGCTCAGCTGGACCAGCTCCTACATGCCAGTGTCTTCCTGATTCCTCGAGGACCTCAGCCGACTCAGTATCCCTCATGTGAGTACACCTGTAGTTGTTCGTTCAACTTATTGCACTCGACACGTAACTTAAATTACATATATTTAAATAATAATAATGCTGATGTTTACAACTGCATTTTGAATTTGTTTTAGGTTTACAGAGCAGTCACTGAGATAGCAAAAGGACTCTTGTGTGCACGTGACCCAGGCTCCCTGATGCTGACATCACACATAACCACAGCACATTCGACACAGCCATTGTGTTTGACATTGTGCAAACTGTCACCTGACTGCAGACTTCACTGGGATGTCACCGCTTTTCCACCAATGTCCTCTGTTCCAGAATGCCAAGTTGCATTCAGATTCAAGTCAGTTTTTAAAAAGGGAAAATCATGCTTTTAACTTGAAGTAAAAACTGTGGGAAAAATTATAAAATTTAATGAAAAATTAAATAACACCTAAATAAAGAAAGACACTTGTGACGATTCTGGACTGGGAAACTTCACAATGTAAGGATGTCTGTTCTCCCCAAACTCCCAAGAGTTAAAAAAAAACTGTTGTGAAACTTGAAGAGCTAAGAGTGTTGCATCCAGAAATGCAAAAGCCTGTTAGCCAGTACAGGCCTGGAGGAGGGGGAGAAGGTCTACCAGATGCAAGGACAGGGTGGCAACAGTGCAAGGTGAGCAGGGTAGAGCACAGGATCAGGAGAGAGTCCTTGCACAGATCCACATGGACATGGGACTTGGCTGTGTGACTAGAGATAGAGATGGAGCCTCATCCTGGAGGAAAAGCGGGATTTCCCCAAACAGGACAGGGTCAGTGATGGAAAATAATGGAACTGGACTCCTAGAACGGCACAAATTCTTGTTGATTATAGATCTGAATATAAGCCCCAAATGGACACAGACAAAGAAAAAAACAGCCCCCGCCCCCCAACACACACACACTGAAGGTGGTAGAACACAATGCAATATCTTTTCTACATTTAGATACACAGTTGCCTACAGCGCTCCACAGTTACATGCCAGTTGACGCTTATATCCTAGGAGCCATCAGCTGCACCAAGTAGCCATGTGTGTAGCAGACCATGGCATCCAGATGTGCGTGTCACCCCATGATGCTCACATAGTGATGAAATTGCCTAGTGACACAGTTCTCAGAACATATCCGGTCATGAAATGACACATGGCTGTACATGAAAACACATGCTTGGCTGTTACAAGTAAAGATTATCAACGTGATCAGTCATAGGGGAATCCACACTCAAGTCACAGAGACAAAACAACATTCAAAAGTCTAGAATTAAGAAGATGGGCTGTGCCCCATGCCGGCGAGCATGTGGAGAAGCTGGCTCTCATGCATGGCTGGGGACGTGCACCGGGGTGGCCAACTGGAAAAACAGTTTAGCGGATTTATATGAAGTTG